TTTATCTTTCTGAAAATATTAGGAATAGATAACTCAATTAATATGTTAGACTAAGACTATCATGACCGATAAATTGAGACGTTGCATTTCACAATTAGATTTCAAAGATAATTGACGATGAAGGTGCTGCATAAATAAATATTATTTACAAAGTTGTAAATTAAATCTTAAGTAGAAAATTATTAGTATTGTGTAGTCTAATTAAGTCACACATCACTCATTCTTAATAGACCTCTATTTTTTTTTTGTTACTATATAAACAACATTATAATATTTTTATATTATAATAAAAAATAATTCTCTAATGTAATCGTGGATGTAAGTAAGTATGACGTGTCCTAATCCATATTAAATACCTGTGTCATATTTTCTTCATTTTTTTCTTCCTTTTACTTACTCTAAACACCCTTTCCTTAGGCGCTACTACCACCACATTCCCATGCTCCACTCCAACTACTTATAAAAGAAGGACAATTTAAAGAGTAGAGGAAGGAGGTTGGAAAGGTGACAAAGAAGAAATGCATACAATCATATTTTTTACACACAATTTTTAAATTATAATTATCTTATATTATTTTTAAAATAAATTTTACTTTTTAAATTTTTAAATAAATATAAGTTAAAATTTACTAATTATCATAAAATTTATATTTTAAAGAATCTTAATAAATAATATTTAAAACAAATACAATATCATAATATTTTTATAACATCCCTAAAAAAATATATAAGACATACATTTTTTTTTAACGATTTGAAAAAATAGTATTCTCATAAAACATGATTTATAAGAACTAAAAAAATTTCATATGCCAAACACATTTTCTTCAACATGTCATGCTTGTAGTATATTATTGAGAAAAATATGTAGTACTGTGATCGCGAGTGTCGCTCTCTGACAAATTAATAAAAATTGAATTGCATAAAAACTATGTAGTAAGTGGTGCAATCCGAGTCGTCTCTCAACAATGATAACATTATACGATTATAAAATTTTTAGAGGGGGTTTGATTTATAGAATAACTAATTAGAATCAAAAGTTAAAAATAATTAAAAACTCTAATCCAAGAATTTAGAAGAACTACGACCACTCTATCACCGGATTCCAAGAAGATGCATCAACCAATAAATTAATGATTAATATTAAATTCGAATGAAACTTCAATTCAAATTAAGCATTCACACAAGAACCCTCATGCATTCGATTAACACACAATTCGCTCAAAGTTCAGAAACCTCTAGAACCTAATCGATTTGTATTAATTTAATTCACCAATGCCATTAATCTTAGATCTCACACCTGAAAATCTAATTCACACTTCTTTAATAATTAATTACATACATCAATCGAATAATATGTTATCAAACAACTGCACGATTATCAATCCAAATGAAGAACTTCAATTCGAAATCATAATCAGCAAAAGGAGAAAGAAGGAAGAGATGAAACCGAATTTGTTGTTGAATAAATTGCAAAACCGATCCTCAAGAGTGTCTCAGCCCTTTTTCAATCCTTGGACTAGATGAAAATCTAAGTCTCCATGGATGGAGGGAAACAAGTCATAAAAAGGGAGAAAAAAAATTAAAAAGAGAAGAGAGGAGAAGAGAGGAGAGGAGCCAAAAAATTAAAATTCAAAATTCAAAATTCAAAATTTTCGTTCGTCACTTTTTTCCTTTTTTCCAGCTATGAAAACGGCCTCTTTTTGTTTCGTGGCCTGAAGGACAATTGTAGCCTTGGATGTTAACTTCAAAACGCCACTAGAATGAGCTTAATCGGATGTCTGTGGACTGAGATATGGCCCAAATACTGCACCTTACTCAGGATCCGCGACTGCAGCATTCTGACTTTTTCTAGGCCCAGTTTCAGCTTCTTATCATCAAAATTGTTTCTGACCTCTTCATAGGAATTGTGCACCTTTCTCTAAGCTTTCCTACAAATCAAGAATCACAATGAAAGGAGTTCTACAACTCAAGATATGGTCCAGAAACTAAAACAGTATCAGAATTTGCCAAATACTGGAAAAATTAAATAAAGCCCAAATAAAATTAAAACATCATAAAATGATCTAATTCAAACCAATTAGGCACAAAAGAGGATTAATGAGTTAGGAATAAAAGGAAATAAGGTTATAAAAATCCAATTGATCAAGTACTTTGTGAGCAGAAAAAAAAATTGTGTATGTACAGTAACCATGATGTCATTAGTGACATCACACTGATGTCATCGTCGACATCATCACTTATGTCATCTGCGACATCATGTTGACATCATCGCTTATGTCATCAGCGATATCATGCTGACATCACGCTTATGTCATCAGTAACATCATACTGACATCATTGCTTATGTCATCGGCAGCATCATGCTGACCTCATCGCTTATATCATTGATGACTTCACGCTTATATCATCAGTGACATCACGTTGATGCTGACGTCATCAGTGACATCACGTTGACACTGACGTCTTTCAAAAAATTTCTACAAATAAGAGGCTTTACACAAAATTTTCTTACTCATATCCAAAGCATTAGATGAGCTGGTAATGCATGGGGTTGTTGCTGTGAGTAATGTTTTGTTATATATATATATATATATATATATATATATATATATATATATACAATTTTATTTTATTTTTGTAAGCTCACCGTTGCATTTCTTTCTATATCGTTGTGTGCATGTGTAATGCGATGATTGTCACGACCCCTTTTATAAGGAACCGAAAACATTGTTTCTACATCACATACTTATTTAAGATAAATAAATAATAGAGAATATAAATATAAATTCACTTCTCATACAAATAAAATAAAGTTTCTTACAACAAATATCCAATAGAACAATATAATATTACATTTAGTTCATAATATTCAAAATACCCAAAATTATACTACGTAACTCCCTCTACATGAGGTCTCAAAATATAAAGTAAAAGGACTTTGATGCAATATTACTCGACTCCAGCATCTAACATTTCTCCACTGGCCCCTCAGCCTGTAAAGTAGATGCAACACCTGCTACATCTGCTCACGTACCACCGTACGATCATCGCAGTACACATGCACACAACAACATAGAAAGAAATGCAAGGGTGAACTTACAAAAATAAACTAAAATCATACATATATATATATATATATATATATATATATATATATATATAACAAAACATTACCACAGCAACAGCCCTATGCATTACCAGCCCATCTAATGCACAACATAAAAACATTTTCCAACTGGTTTCACAGCCTAAGTAATCCAGAAGGAACAGAGCCGTTTCGGGAGTGACTCATTCCGGTATCTGGATCCAGACAGCACAGCACAGCAGCTCAGCATGAACTTACCGTTACACGTCTACCCACCTAAACATGTAACTCGGCTCTATAATAAGCAAAACATATATCTCAGCATGATGCACACCGCCAAAATTATTTGAACAGCTCAACTAAGACAAGTTTATAATAGATCAGCCAAAATCTCAGCATTTTAAATCAATTAACAGCAGTTACAGCTTAGAAAATAGCTTTTATTCGATAGATATAATAAAATCATATCAAAACATCTTGAAATAGCATATTAAACCGTTCAAAACGTAGTTCATAGGTTAAAGTAAGCTCCCCTTACCTAAGAATAATGATTCACACTAGATCTACCGAATATTACTTGTTTTATAACAAGATTCATCGAAGATTCGGCTTTAGAACGGAGTTTCTCCTAAGAACACCATGAACTTCTATGAGGAAGAGAAGGAGAAGAGAAATGAACGGTAAATCTAGCTTTAAACTTAAAGAAACTTACTTCAAATCCCTCAGAATAGACGTAGAATCTCAGATCTGGCGAGAAATATAAGTTTAGGAGGGTTTAATATGAGAGAAAATGGTGATATATGACCTTGAAACCTTTAAGAACCTTGTATAGAAGTAAAGAAATGGAAATTTTGTATAAAGCTCCCCTTTTTATAGAAATTTTTTAAAATTTACTGTTCACCGCCAGAATTACTATTCATCTCCGGAAACACTATTCACCGCACAACTGTTCATGTCAGAAACACTGTTTAGGACACTATTTACTCCAGAAATACTATGCACACGTACTGTACGCGCACTGTACGCGTAAGTAACGTCAGCTATGATGTCAGGATGATGTCACTGATGACGTCAGCAGTCACTGTACATACGCGATTTTTACTGTTCATACGCAATTTTACTATTTATAGGCAGTTTCACTGTTTATTAACACTGTTCATACGGTACTGTTCACTTTTTTTCTTCTTTTTTTAATAAATAATTTTAAACTCCATCTAAATCTATTCCAATACCAAATAATCCTTCAATTAACATTTAACAAGTATAAAATATTATAGATTACTCAATAATAAATCACAAACCTGATAATGATCGTATGGTGGTACGTGAACAGATGTAGTAGGTGTTGCATCTACTTCACAGACTGAAGGAAAAATGTTAGAAGCTGGAGTCAAGTAATTTTGTATCAAAGTCCTTTTTCCTTATATTTTGATACCTCATCTAAAGGGAGCTATGTAGTATAATTTTGAGCATTTTGAATATTATGAACTAAATATAATATTATGTAGTTCTATTATATATTTGTTGTAAGAAACTTTGTTTTATTTTGAATGAGAAGTGAATTTTATACTTATATTTTTTATTATTTATTTATCTTAAATAAGTATATGATATAGAAACAATGTTCTTGATTCTTTATAAAATGGGTCGTCACACAATAAAAAAATCTTTTTTTTTTTCTATTTTTTGTACTCATCTAAATAATAGATATTTTTAAAAAAGTTAGTCAACTTTATCTTTATGTGGACTAAAATAACCCTAAATACAAAAGGTGCAAACCGTTTGATCAACTTCATACATATTGCAATAAGGACAATATAGGAACCACATGAGGAAATAAACCCCTGGACGTTGAAGAAATTACAATAGGTACAATATTACAACCCAAAAACGGAAGTGGCAGTATAGGAACAAAGGAACCAAAGAATATAAGAAATATTAATTTGGTGTTGCACTTGAAAACTTGTTCATTTGCCTGTGCCGTTGCACTATTTGCTCTCTACTCTCAACTCTCAACTCTCAATGATCCTTCCAGGTCCGTACGCTTTCTTTTATTTCTAAAACCCATTTTCTTCATTCAATTCAGATTCCATGCTCACTCAATTTTAGGGTTTTTAACATATTCCCCCCATTTTGAATATTCAAAATTGTTTAGTGCATTCACTTATTCACCTCTTGACTTGAAGAGCAATTAGTGCTTCCCTTTATCGTAAAGGTATTTTTTAGGAGGCAAGGGTTTTTTTTTTTTTTAAGCCTTTTCACTGTTGTTTTCTTATTTGTTGTTTAAGAGAGTTCGCAATTTTGAGTTATCGATTGTTTATTTCGGAGTAGATTAGGGTTTTGTTTGTTGCCTTTGTTTGTAATTTGAAGTTTGCCTCTATTTGCTGCTCTGGTTGACTTGCGAGATAAAAAAAATAAGGGTGCTAGTTGCGTAATAAGTTTGTTGATCATCTATGAGAGAAGCTTTCAGAGTGTGTTTTGTTTTATTTTATGTTTTTTTCAAGTTTTTGTTTAGTTGTGATGGTGTAGGATTGTAAATGTTCATCACTTGTTGGGCTGCTTTTTGAGTTTTGATGTTGTTATTTATGTTTGCATTCACGGTTTATAACCATTGGACAGGTATTCACTGCGACAACATTACTCTTTGTTGTGGTAGACAGACGTTTACTTTATTTTTTAGTTTTTGCTGAGTTGTGATTGTATAGGATTGTAAATGGTCATCATTTGTTGGGATGCTTTTTGAATTTTGATGTTGTAGTGTGTGTTTGGATTCATGGTTTATAACCATCGAACAGGTGTTCACAGCGACAATGCTACTACTCTTTATTGTGTTATACTTCTGTTTAATTAACACTGATTACTGACATTTATCAGGACATGCGGGTAGTTGTACTGAAGGATTTTATTTTTATTTTTGGGGTAGAAGTTTAGGGCGAAGGAGTGCTATGCTAACCAATACAAAGCAAATGGGCTGCAAGTCTAAGCAATTAAGTATGAACATTTCAAAATAGTAGCCGATTTGTGTTTGACAATTTCAATATCCCTTATTGCAATTTACAATTTTTTGGTTTGTATGTTTGAACTTTTATACCGATAAAGATGGAAATATCACAATAGTTAAAATTAATAAAAACGTTATATTATGTATATAATGATTTAAGTCAACTTTTAAGACATCAATTCTTTCTTTTGGTTTAAGATTTTATTAAATTAAATTTACGTGATGCATTAAAATTTTGTTGTATCATATATTTTCCAAATTTTTTGTATCTGCATGCCATGGTTGTCGTATTTGTGCCACATATTCCATGTTGTATATGTGCTTTCTAGAGCCTAACATTATATTTGGTTGGAGGGAAATGGAGAGGTGAGCTGAGGGGGCTAAAATTCCTCCCTACTCAATTTTAACTCCCTCAAAATTGGGAGATTTGGAGGGAGAAACAATTTAAACTATTTAGACAAAATTATCCTTAATTTAATAACTTTATTTAATCACTATAAGTATAAAATAGTGAATTTATACTTTTACTCTATTCCCTTCAATTAAAATTCCTTTCCTCTCTATCCTCTTTTGAGCCAAACAGTGCATGAGGGCTTATAGTGGCTGTACTTAAAGTTTACTTAACAAGGGGGACTGTTGGCAGTGAGAATTTGAGAAACAAACTTCAAGCAAAGTATTTTGATTAGCTGAACCAACTGTGGCGATGTATGGAAGCATTTTGACCTCTGTTTTGTTAACACTTCTATTGGTTTGGTATACCTATACCTATGGTGCCCCAGCTCAACGTTGCTTGGTTCCAAGATAAATAAAAAAGAAAGTTGAGTGAAAAGAAGAGGATAATAATAGGAAGAAAGCACTTTATCAATTCTTTCTTTATGTTGCTATTCTACCTGTTTTATGTCTGATATTGTTAAAAACACCCACAACTTATGGTGATCTAGAACTGTGTCATGGGTTTCTATTGTGATTGCGCTGCTGTTGTCCTATTGGTTTGAAAGATCTGACCCATCTACCGATGCATTAATTTCATGTTTAGAATTCTGTTTTTGATATCAACAACTACTCCCTTTTTTCAAAGAAGTTTTTGGTTAATCTAATAATTGAGTTATAAAAAATCTGCAGGGTCTATTTGAGTGTCAGGACTGCAATCTTTTGGGGGACTGATCAGGTCTTGGAAGATTTATTTGCTATTTGCATTTTAATTCTGGGCAATCTATTCACATAGCAGCTATAAGCCTATAACATATATGTAGCTTGTTTGTCAGTTTGCTTGGTCTTAGCACTCACTGTCAAGTTTTGAAGTCTGGATTTTTTATGGAGTGCAATAAGGAAGAGGCCTTAAGGGCCAAGGACATTGCTGAAAAGAAATTGGAAAACAAGGATTTCAGAATGGCTCGTAAATTTGCGCTTAAGGCTCAACAGCTATATCCTGATTTGGAGAATATCACTCAAATGCTCATTGTTTGTGATGTGCATTGCTCTGCTGAGCTGAAATTGTTTGGCAATGAGATGGACTGGTATAAAATTCTTCAAATTGAGCTGACAGCTAATGATGCAACAATTAAGAAGCAATACAGGAAGTTGGCTCTCCAACTTCATCCTGATAAAAACAAATTTTCTGGTGCAGAAGCTGCATTTAAGTTGATTGGGGAAGCTCAAAGAGTTCTTTTGGATAAAGAAAAGCGATCTAGGCTTGACATGAATTTGCGCAGGGTTCCAAGGAACAGAACTGCTATGTCATCTAATCATCAGCAGAATGTTCAGATGAATTTTAATCCTGTGATGCAAACAAATGTCAGGCCCAATTTTACAAATTTAAATCCTCAACAGCAACAACAGTCTCGGCAAGCATCTCAGCAGGGCCTTAATGGTGGCCACCCTACTTTTTGGACTGTTTGCTCATTTTGTTCTGCTAAATATGAGTACTATAGGGATGTTTTAAATAGAGTTCTTCGTTGTCAACATTGCAATAGGCCCTTCATTGCATATGATGTGAATGTGCAAGGTACAACACCAGCAGTTAATTTAAGTCAGCAAGCTTTCGGTGCACAGAACGATAGTCAAAATCATGGCGCTTTCAAGGTTGGTGTTGGATCTCAAAGTAATTTACATACTCACAGGTCCAATAAAGAATCACATATGAAAGGAGGCCGTACTGCTGATGTCTCTGTAAAGCCAAATGGAAAGAGGAAGAGGAAGCAGGTAGCAGAATCCAGTGAAAGTTCCGAATCTATATGCAGCACTGATTCTGAAGAGGATATGCTTTCTGAAAAGGATATGCTTTCTGAAAAAAATGGTTTTCCTGGTGTTTCTAGTTATAGAGAAGAGCGTCCTCGTAGATCTACGCGGCAAAAGCATCAGGTTTCCTACAAGGAGAATTTGAGTGACGATGATGATGAAGGGTCTGGATCTCCGGTCGGTGTTGGTGAAAATCATGGGGAGGCAGCTAAAATGAATGAGCAGAATAGTTTGGCTACTGATCTGAAAGGTGATCAGGAAAAGGTAAAGCAGAAGCAGAAGTTTTATTCTGAAGAGAGCTTACAAAATGTAAATAAGGAAACTAAGGAGGTTAGAGGAAAAGAAGCAGAGGGCAGCTCAAAGATAGATGAAGCTTCAGAGGATTCAACCTTCAAATCAACAAATCATCCAGATTATTTTGTTTATCCTGATCCAGAGTTCAGTGACTTTGACAAGGACAAGAAAGAGGAGTGTTTTACTGCTGGGCAGATTTGGGCTATTTATGACACTGTAGATGGCATGCCTAGATTCTATGCTTTAATCAGAAAAGTTCTCTCTCCTGGATTCAAGTTGCGGATAACATGGTTTGAACCAGATCCTGATGACTATGATGAAATCAAGTGGTTCGGTGAGAGTCTGCCAGTTGCATGTGGGAAACATAAACTTGGTGGCACTGAAACCACTGAAAATCGTCTGATGTTCTCTCATCTGATTTCTTGTGAAAAGAGTGGCCGCAGTTTTTATAAAGTATATCCTAGAAAGGGAGAAACTTGGGCTCTTCTTAAAAATTGGGATATCAAATGGCATATGGATGCGGAATCTCATCGGCAGTATGATTTTGAGTTTGCTGAAATCTTGTCAGATTATGTTGAAGGTGTGGGAGTAGTTGTTGCATACTTAGCTAAGTTGAAAGGTTTTGTGAGTCTCTTTTCTCGAATTGAGGGAGGCAATCGCACATCTCAAATTTTACCAGTTGAGTTATTCAGATTCTCTCATAGGGTTCCATCTTTTAAAATGACTGGTCAGGAAAGAGTGGGTGTTCCTGTAGGATCTTATGAACTTGATCCTGTATCCTTGCCAATGAATCTTGAAGAGATTGCTGTTGCTGAAGATTTGGAAGTAAAGGTTGGTCATTGTCCGACGGTCGGGATGAGCACAAGGTCGTCACAAAAGTCGGAATTCATCATAAATTTGGAGGGAGATGCATCTACTGCAAAGGTTAATTTGCAAAGAAGCAACTCAGCAGAGGAGAAAAAGGATCCTGTTGATAATGGTAGTGCTCCTTCAGCTTCAGCCACAGAAGCATTTGAAATTCCAGATCCTGTGTTCTGCAATTTTGATGCTGCAAGATCCATTGAAAACTTTAAGATTAATCAAATATGGGCATTTTACAGTGATGAGGATGGACTGCCAAAATACTATGGTCAGATTGAGTGTGTTCTGACAAGCGAAACAGATGTCCAGTTGCAAGTTACGTATCTTACTAACTGCTGGCTACCGGAGAATGCTGTTAGATGGGAAGATGAGAATATGCTTGTTTCCTGTGGAAAATTTAAAATCGGAACAGGTGCTCAACCCTACACTTATGCTAACACCTATTCTGTTTCACATCAGGTGCAAGCTATTACTGATGATATGAAGAAGGAATATGAAATTTTTCCAAGGAAAGGTGAAATTTGGGCTTTGTATAGGAATTGGACAACTAAAATAAAACGTTCGGATTTGGAAAACTGGGAGTATGACATAGTGGAAATTGTTGGAAAAAATGATTTGTGGATGGATGTTTTGCCTTTGGAGTTGGTAAGTGGTTATAACTCAGTTTTTAAGGGCAAATCAAATGGCGGATCAGCTTTGAACATGAGAATATCCAGGAAAGAGTTGCTCAGATTCTCACACCAAATCCCTGCCTTCAAATTGACAGAAGAAAATGGTGGTGATCTGAGAGGCTTCTGGGAACTTGATCCGGGAGCACTGCCTCTCCACTATTTTGGCAATAAATGATAGAAAGCCTTCGGCTACTCCTGAACATGAATAGATCTACTTGTATTTATGTATCAATCTTTTACCAGGGACAAAATTTTGGATCCTGATGGTATTTTTGGACTCTTTTTTCTTTCTTTCTTTCTTTCTTTTTTTGTTTAAATTAGATAAGAAGTATACACTTTGTGTCTATGCAGTAGTAGCTCCTGCATAATCACAATTGATATAACGGCACCTGAATTCTTAGGTAATGTTCCAGCTGCCTCTTAAGGTAAGGAGGTTGTGCTGGTTCCCTTCTACATTCTTTTAAGTGTTGCTTCTCATCCATTAGAATTAGAGTTGCGTTAAGTGTTATCCTGCAATATTAATTTTTACGTAAGGAATTTGAGTCTAACGGACAATCTGGGTGCACTCGCTTCAATCATGCAGGGTGTCCTTGCATTATCTCTTTTGTTAGCCAATATGTATAATGAGAACATGGCTTTGAATTTCAACTTCATGGTATTCAGATTTCCTAAGCTGGGACTGCCCTTTCCAGTTTCTAATTTTTAGGTATTGTTTTTTTAAAAGTATCACAATTAATCTCGTGTAAGATACATGACTGGTGTGGGCGTATTACATCTACCTTTACCTTGTTTTCAACTCAGTTTCATGAAATGAATCTGTGATCGTAATTCCTTCGTATTTTTTTATAATACAACATATGAGGGCATTTGGTCTAGTGGTATGATTCTCGCTTTGGGTGCGAGAGGTCCCGAGTTCGATTCTCGGAATGCCCCCCATATTTTATTTATTTTATGAGGAATGTTCACGTGTTGTATCTGACATCTGCTGACATATTTAACCATCAAGTATCTTATTAACTAATGTCGTGTATTATCTACAAATATTTAAAATTTCATTTTTTAACATAGATTAATTTTGAAAGCTAGCATGTAATTGTTAATATACTATAAAAATCAAATGATTATTTTTTTATTGTATATTGCTGTTGACGTTGAAAATAAGATGCTATACTTTTTCTGTTTCTGTAAATACATTCATAATTAATATATATAATACAATCAATGGTTACTTTTTCCCCAAGACTGCATAGGTGTTGGAATATATAGCCGGTTTAGTACAAACTAGCTTGTACAAATATAATTCTGAATGGGTTGTCATCAGAATTAGACAACAGCCTAGAAAAACTAGTAAACAACAAATACCGTATTGTTTGTACTTTTTTTGGGGGTCAACTATTGTTTGTACTTACAAATATATCAAAAGTAGATAATTTAAATCATCTAACATTATCCATTATAATAAATAAAAGTATAAGTTGAACAACTTTTACGGTGTGTATTTAGATAGTATGATTTTAGTATTTATTTTATGATACTTTCATGATATCTTGGAAATTAAAATATATTTTAGTATCTATTTTATGAGGATTATTTTTTGCACTTTTTTCGTACCTTTCTCACCATCCTTAATTTATTTTGTCATTTTCTTTTAAAAACATCCTTCATAATAATAAAAATATCGTCTCCTCTCTAATTAAAAGGCCTTAGGCAAAATGCTTTAAAGAAAGTTTTCTGAACACACTATAACGGGCATGCACAAATTCACTTTAGGCAAAATCCCTCTTCACTTCTATTATCAAATCCAAATGTTTATACACCTTTAAAAACGACAGTTGAAATTAAAGACCTCACAGAATGTGAGAGAGAATAAATAAAAACCATAGCTAATGTTTCCAAGACCACACCAAAAACCTTTTCAATTGTTATGAAAACAACGAAATTTTGAGACAAGGGCAATCTGAAACCAGAATCAACTAGGAAAATGAAAACTTCAGAGGAGAATGAACTTAAGAAATAAGGTGAATCCGAAAAGAACCAAATATGAGTATATTAGTCAATTAATGATTTTTTTTTGGGTCAATAATGTATTTTTAAAAATTTTAAAAAATGGTGCCTTGCTTTTATTTTTGTCAAGTGCCAAAATGGGCCCTCTTGGGTTTGGATAACTGGGCCTCTCAAGAAGCAAATTTGTTTACCAAAAAAAGAGGATTAAGTACAAAATGAAAGAGTGGGGCATTCCGAGGACCTCTCGCACCCTAAGCGAGAATCATACCACTAGACCAAATGCCCATCCGCCAGGGTAATGTTTAATCAAAATTAATCTAAATAAAAATTTATTATATTAATTTTAAAATATTATCCCGACCTTATAAAGATATCTGTGATACTCTTTAAACATATAAATATAATTCAGACATAAAAGTTAAAGATCTGTAAAACTCTTTAAAAAAGAGTATCATAATCTTGTAGATACAGTATTTAAAAATTGCAATATATTTCATGAGAATCATGTACTAATTTAGTTGTCAAAATTATGAGAATTGTTTAATTTTATCTTTGAAATCACAAAAAATAGTATTATCTTTGAAATTACTTAACATAGGTCATTTATTCTTTATTTTGTAATTTTAAATACTAAAATATTTTGTCTTTGTTAAAGTTAAGAATTAAAATAATTTAAGAAATTCAATTAATCAGTACTCATAATTTTTAATACTTTATTATGTATTTCTTTTAAGAAAACTGGAGTGTAAAAAATTAAAAAGTTTTCTTAATTATAGTTTTAATTCTTTTATTTTGTACTTTATTGTGTGTATTTTTGTTGATATCAAATGAAATCGTGTATCGTTAAAATTAATTAAATTTAGTTTTAGTATTAATTTTATCTGATTTTTAATTATTAATTTTTATCTAAATATTTGAGAAGTGATGGAAAATAAACTAAGAACTTAAAAGTTGTTTGGAAGAAAGTTTTTGCATGTTGGCTGATAAGTATGTAATTAGACCCCTTTTTATAACCATTTATTCGTAATTGACCTTTATTTTGATTGGATTTTATATTAATTTATTTATTAATTGTGCAGTTTGATATAAAAAGGCCACAAGTAGATTTCGGTTCATTTTAGGCTCAAATGAATGGCTTTAAAAGCCTCACAACAATAAGCACGTCCAATGAAGCACGGGGTTGCTTCGACAATATGCATGACTGTGACACACTATCATGCGCGGTCGTGCTTGTTTGCGTTAGCCAAACTTGCTTAGTTTAAAGGAGTTCTAATTCTATAAATGGGGAGGATGAGACATCGTAGAAACGATCTTTTCCTGAGCATCATTTCACAAAAGGTCCTTTAAGGTTTTTGATCACTTTCACCTCTCTTGCACGGACCTTTGGCACACCCTTGGCGACACTTGGAGATTCAAGTGATCATACTTGAAGACCAAAGATTCATCTCTTGTTCTAGTTTATTTTTCTCTTCATTATGGATATGTTATTCATTATTATAGTTTTTTCTTTCTATATGAGTAACTAAATACATAGCTAGGGCTGTGAAAATTATTATTCATGACTTTATAAAATTTTGATATTTAAATCTAAATTTGATTTTCGCTTCGTGATTAGAATTTATCTTATCATTTCTCATTCTTAACTCTAATTAATTACATCATCAAGCGATCGTACCTCGGTTAATTAATAGATCTATAGGATAAAACGAGATAAAAGATCAGGTAGACCAAACCAATCTTCATCTTCTAATTGTTATTGAATTAACAAATTCATAGGCTTCTTAGGTTTTTTCTAATTGATAACTCGCATGACCATTGGGGATATTAACTTAGAAAAAAAAGAATATTAATATTAAATGACCAGTGGATATTAATAGTATTAGTATGAATGATTAGTAATCATCACGAAATCGAATTTAGATCTAAATATAAAAATAATATAAAGAATTGAATGAGAACACTCATACGTCCTAGGTTTCTCTCTGATAAGTGTAACCAATACGTGCTCTGTGTTTCTTGTTCTTAGTTTTTATAATTGATTTTATAAATTCTCGTCCTGGTTAATCTCGCATATTTGAAGCTGAAACAATTAAATTAGGAAAACTTAGTAGTTGATAAACAATTCTTATGGAATGATATTTTAGGAACTTAGTTGAAAACTCTTTATTACTTCTCGATGGGTATATTTGTTTTTCGAACATTGGCCTTATATATATATATATTTATAATCTATGAAAATTAAAAAACATTAAAATGTGTTGATTTATTATTTTATATATTTTATTATAAATATCATTTGATTAAAATATATTTAGTTAAAAAAAAAAGTTGTTCCTTTCTTTCCAAATTTCCATTTCCAAACAATATATTGATGTAAAAAAAAACTGATAGAATATAGGAAAGTGTTTAGGATGTAGGATGCAAGTTAGAAAAAGGAAAATCTTAAGTATTTGTGAGTTTTAAAATTTTCAATTACTTTAATTCATAAAAAATGAATTAAAACTATAAATTTTTAAAAATTGAAGAGAAAATTAGCAATTCAAAATAGTTGCGAAAATAGAAAAATAAATTAAATGTTAAAATAATTAAATAATAAAATCATATTTATTATCCAATGCAAAAAATATTTTATTTCCACAAATTATAAGTCTAAATTACTTAGATTTTTTAATTTTACAAAACATCATTTTTAGTCATTGCTTTTCAAAAAACGATTTTAAATATTATTTTATATAAAAAGTTAAATAAAACCAATTTCATCGAATTAAGGATTAAAATGATTTTTCTGTAAAGTTAAAAGTTAAACTAATTAATAATCAAGAAAAAAGATTAATAATTAGCAACAAACAAGGTTCTCCATTCTCTACTTTATCCTTTCTGGTCCATTCTAAAAGCCGCCAACCCGAAAAACCGCGATTTTTTCCCTCCAAAATTGTGTCTTTATTGTCCTTCTTTCAATGCCCTAAATTTGAATAGGGTTTTTCAGTGATGAGTGCGATGGGTTCTGCGGGCAAAGACGATCGCGGAAATACTTCGATCCACGAAGATTTTGATTTCGTCGAAACTCAACCATTTGACGCCGCTTCCCCCGTTTGTAATTGAGATCCCAATCAACTTAATTTCTTTTTCCATTGTTATGCTACGATCTCTGAGACAAACCTTAATTCACATCAAATTTAACTTTTTGTTTTTCAATTTGTTTGCTTTGACGAAATGTTAGGTGGTGATGACAAGTGGCGATACTTCGAAGACACTGTGCCTTTCGATGACGACGTATTGGAAACTGACCCTGAAGAGGTGAATCTTGCCGGAGAAACTCAGGTGTTGGAATTTGATGGTGAAACTCAGGCGTTGGATGATGGTGATACGCAGTTATTTGAGGAAGGTTTGGAATCTGATGGAACAGAGGTTTTGGACAATGTGGGTGATGAGGTATCGGTTGATGATCCTCGATGCGGTGACAATGACAGTGGTGAATCACCGGAGAGAAAGGGTGAACCCTCTTGTGACCATGGTGACAAGACTTGTCATCTTACTGCTACACAAAGCAGTTCTGGTGAGTGAGTGAGTTGTTTTTGTGTGTGTTTTCTTTCGCTTTTTTGTGAATATTGATTTGGAACTGCTAGTGGCTTGGTAGGTACATGAGCTGCAAGAGATTTGTGGCTGTTAAGCTGTTATGAATCTTGTTTTGTTTATGTGAATTTAGTGATGCTCTTTATAGGATTGATGAAAAGAAAACGATGGAGTGAAGTGAAGATATGATGGTGATAATATGCTTGGTACTATTGAAGGAAATAAAACAAAGTCAAGTTAATGGTGCGGTGGTGCGGTTTTATTTTAATAATGTGCATTTGCTGATGGACTAGTAATTGTAAGGTGTAATGGGAGTTGAAAATTGCAACCATTATGTGGAAAATGTGTTTGTTTTCACCCCTCTGTTACTGTAGTAGAAGGGGCACACAAGTCATGAAGTTTGGCTTGGCTCTGGCTTTCTTACTAAATAACAAATATTATGTTTTGATTTGCTTATTTGTAGGTGCAGAATACTAACTCTGTGGACTGTTCTCATGAGTTTCCCACATTCTCATTCTTTTTCTATTTATTTTTATGGGAAGTGCTAAACTTGTTTTTTCTGTTTTCCCATAGTATTTTATATCCAACTGTTTTGTGACTGTATTTACTTACATTGTAGGACTAGATCCATTGCAAGGTTGTTTATTTTCGTGATTTGTTATTCCTTTTTTGCTGTAAAAGTATCATGAAATGCAATTCATTTCTTCTGATTCCCCCTGTTAAATTTATGTTTTTCTCAGGTTCAATGCCACCGCAGTTTACTTTTCTACGTGCAGAATCTTTGCGGAAAGCTGCTCTAGCTACCCGCAATATGGCTTCAAAACAAACCCCGGACGAGATCATTTCTGTTATGGGTACAAACAAGTTTTGTCAGGACCCACTGGCTGTAAAGGATAAGGGGGAATCCTTTCCTAGATGTTCTGAGAAAGTTAAGGAAGTTGTTCAGGAAAATGAGCATGGGAAATACAGTGTGGAAATCCAGGGATGTAAGAGCAAAAGTATGTGCAAGGTTGCTAATTCAGCAGCGAGAAAACTTTTCAATGGTGATTTATTTGTTGAAATGAATGGACCTTCTCTTAGCAGCAACGATTTAAATGAAGGAGATAGCTTGGACAAATTGCCTGTCTTCCATCGTGAATTGGAAGGGTTAAGCTATGCTAACTCTCAAGAACCTGGAGAGTTGTCACAAGTCAATGCTCTTGATTTTGTAGATAGGTTTCTCAATGACAATATCATGGATTTTGATCAAGAAACAAACCATATTAAGAATATGGAGGAAAAGTCAAGACCCATGCCCAGTACACAAGGGCAACATAGTTTGGCCAAGAGAGTTAATGATAGAGGCAAATCTGGAAGAACTGGAATTTATGATTGGGATGATAGCCTTGAAGATGAAGGTGGGGGAGATATATTCCTAAGAAGAAAGGAAGATTTTTTTAAGAGTGAAACACATAGGCCAAGGTCTTTGCCTGGATTCCAGAAGGGCAAGGTACGGAGACAAAATGATGATAAGGATGATGAGGAGCAATTAAGTATACCTAATAAAAGAAAGACTGCCATTCATTCAGATTCAAGGTTAGGATTGCATCATCTGAAATTAAGTGACAATTCTATACAAGAAGCAACAAGAAACTTAAAACGGAATCTTGCTAAGGAGCTGGATGAACAAGTTAACACCAATTGTTCTAGAGGAGAGACAGACCCTAGTGCTAATGCAGATGCACAAGAAATGTTAGGTGTAGGTTTAGATACTCAAATGGCTGCTGAAGCTATGGAAGCCTTATGCAATGCTGAGGATAATGTTGATCATGTTGCTAATAATTCTGTTCATGTTACTAGAAGTGGTTTAACTTATCAACTTAATAACTCTTCCTCTTCCACTGGTAAAATGGGGCAGGTTTCATCAAATGAACATTTGGAACGGTATGACAGGAAAAGAAAAGTCAATGTCAAATCAAAATTACAAACTTCAGGTTTATCAAAGGAAAATACTAAAGAAGTCAGACATTGCAAAAAGGACAATGTGATGACAAGATCGAAGAAAAGTAAGTTGACTGCAGTAGGCAGCCAACCCTCCAGTCCTAATGAAAATGGTAGAGTAACAATATCTCCAATAATTGAACAAAGAAAGTTAGCAGGAGCACTGAAAGAATATCAGCTTGGTGAGTTGAATAATCCTGATGGCAATGCTGGAGGAAGTAGAGGGAGGTTGGTCAAGAAAAGGAAATTACAGGATGATGTTTGGCATTTTACACCAGTTGCCCGTAGAACCAGAAAGTCCTTAGCAGTGAGAGAAGGGGATATGGGGACTGGTTCCCTTGAGAAAAGCGGTGGAGTTGTCCAACAGGTGTCCAAAGCACTGGATTCTAAATCTACTGCAAGGTCTTCTGATCACTTTGAAGTAGATGATAATTCCAAGTTGTGTCAACCTGAGAAATTGGCTCCAAAGGAAAGTGCTGTTAGTGTTAGTCATGATGTCGAAATGGATAAATTAGATTGTCCTAAAAGAAGGAGATCTCTTAGGATTAGGAAGTTGTCTAATCATGATAAAGAATCTGAGACATTAGTTGGTTCATCTAAACCATCTGCACAACCTGAAGATATTGTGAAATCTATTGCTGGGAAGAGAAAAATGAGGATAGATTCGGCTGTCAAATCACATGAGAATTGTGGAACTCGCACATCTTCAGATGGTGGTTCAGTAATATCTTCTGTTGACCGAAAACAAGAGAAAACATCAGAGCTAAGTTCTGATAAAGCAAATCCTAGGGATAATACCTATAATTTTGAAGCCACCAGTTCAGATGAATGGGCTAGAGAGAGGTACAAGTCATCTGATTTGGCTTCTGCAACTCCAACTAATTGTAAGACGCCAGTAAATGATGCATCACCTATTTGTATGGGTGATGATTATTACAAACAATCGTGCAATAGAAATCTTTCAAGATCATGTCTTCTCAAAGTATTTCGTCATGAGCTCCATAGAGAACTTCGAAGCTTGAGTGCTATCAGACCAGAGTTAGTGACCCCATCTAAAGATTCAAGGAAGAGAAAGGATATGACTGAAGTTCGACTTCTTTACAGCCACCACTTGGATGAAGATATTATTAAGCATCAGAAGAAGGTATTGCCTGATTTTTTTAAACTTCCAATCTGTAAGTAGGAAGTACAGATATGTATTTGGGTTTTAGCCAATTTTTTTGTCTTGTGCTTATCACAGATTTTATCAAAGCTTGGATTTTCTGTGGCATCCTCCATTGCAGATGCAACCCACTTCATAGCTGATCAATTTTTGCGCACAAGGAATATGTTAGAAGCTATTGCTCATGGCAAACCAGTGGTCACACACTTATGGATTGAGAGCTGTGGACAAGCTAGCTGTTTTATTGATGAGAGAAATTATATACTAAGGGATGCAAAAAAGGAAAAGGAGTTAGGTTTCAGCATGCCAGTGTCCCTAGCACGCGCAATCCAATGTCCGCTTTTAGAGGTAATATATGTGGAATGTAGGCAGTAAAAGGAGCAAAACTTCATTTTTGGATCATGAATATTACACTCTCACTGGTTGGGATAATGAAGTCATTTGTGTTTTTTATGTGGTCATTCTGTTCTCAATTAATAGGGTCCTATGTATTGGTATATGTTGCTTGCAACCCTACCCTGTGAGATATGAGGCTTAATTGTTGTTCATATACCTTGGACTTTTAATCCTCTTAAATTTACATTTTTTTGGTTCCTTCTAGTTTTCATTGTAACAGTAGTGTCCCCATATTTTTCAATCCAATGAAACTAATTCACCATAGTCTGCAATAAAAAGATTGTGCCACATCAAGAAAAGATAGAGCATCATCAATTGCAGATTGACAGGGGGACTAAATTGCTCATTATGGAACCACATCAGCAAAACATTACTTAAGGGGATAAAATACTACACACCAAAACTAAGTGAACCAAAATTGAACTTCTATAAGATTAGGAGGCACAAAAGCTTAAGCCTATTTTGAACACAAACAGATGCATTTTCTGCCTGTTTGCTCTTGCTAAATAAGCATAATTTTCTGCAGGGTCGAAGAGTATTGATCACCCCAAATACTAAACCCAGTAAAGAGATTATTTCAAGTTTAGTGAAGGCAGTTCAGGGCCTGGTATGTATCTTTCTGTGTATATTCATCAGTGATGCCCCTGCATGCTTGAAAAATGCCTTATCCTTGGAATTTGCATACTTTGTCCTTTCCATAATTTTCTATGAACAAATCATAGAATAAGCAAAGTAATTTTCTTGACAATATTTGTGTAACTGTTCTATTTTATTGTTGATCAATATTGTGGTCCACCCAATGATTTGTAATCATGAAGTTGTTGGTTATTTTCCCACCTTTTCAGAATACAAAGACACCTATGCACATCAGTATGCAATTAAACAATCTTTTGGCCCAACTTTCCAACCTTAGACTTCTATCTAACTTTTCCCCCCTTGTAACTGATTTTCTTAGGCAGTGGAGAGAGTTGGCAAGTCTGTTTTGAAGAACCATAAAATTCCAGATGATCTACTGATCCTATCTTGTGAAGATGATTATGCCTCTTGTGTGCCTTTTCTTGAAAAGGGTTAGGAACTGTCTCCTTTGGCTTTGAAAACTTGCCATCTGCGCAAAATTTTGAATATTGTGTTTTGCACCTGCAGGGGCAATAGTGTACAGTTCAGAGCTATTGTTGAATGGCATAGTTACTCAGAAGCTGGAGTACCATAGGTTGGGTATTTTTGCTTTATTTTCTTGTGTCACTAATAAATTTAATTATCCGTATTGGGAAGTAAGCTTTCATTAGACACAAATAATGTTTCATGGGATAGTGGGTTGAGGGAGGGGTTTGCCGTTATATTGGATAGCAAATACCTTGGAAATTTCTGCCCTCCCTATATTTTTAGGGCTAATGTACTGCAACAACATTGCATCCTCTAGATGACGGGTTTTTATAATGAAGAGTGCTAGTATCTATGGTAGTTTATTCCTGATAAATACATTTTGGTTGCAGGCATCATCTTTTTGCAGACAATGTGAAGAAAACCCGTTCCACCATATGGTTGAAAAGAGATGACAGAACATTTACTCCTGTGACTACATGTAATTAGAGTTGCTCCATTTATACTTAATTTTCCCCATTATCGTTTGTAGTTTAGACCATTTGTAGATATTTTCCAATACTTGCCCAAACCCCCTCCCCCATGTAATATATTATTTATCATGTAGAAGCCTTTGAAGTATGCTTTTGCCCCCCTTTCTTTCAAGTCACTTTGCATCCTTTTGCGATCGTTTTGTGAAGATTTTGATGCTCATAAGAGCGAGTATATAATCTCACCCCAGTCCTCAATTGCGCTTGGGTGATGAATGTGCTTGATTGGATTCGTGTTATAAACTTCATTTGCCAAAATTGAAATCTTTTCCCTTCATAAAATCTGGGGTTATATGACATCGTAAATCAGGAATTGTCTCTGCAACTCCGTTTGTAGAGTGTATTCAAACAGGCTAGTAGTAGTGTATTGAATGAGTGGTGTCGTATGCCTTTTTTTTCATCTGTTAGTGTTGTCATGCCTTAGTGCGAAACTGCTCGCTACTCGACATGTTGAACTGAATTTTGCCAGTGTCATGTTTTTGTTAAACTGTTCAAGGGTAGTTTATAAGATCTTTGTCTCCCCACGTGTAATACTAAAGATTTTTATTCTTTTGGGTAAAACAGTTTGCAATTGCCATTTGCCGAGGATGATAGCTCTGGGCTGTTTTCGTTACCGAATAGGGGTGTATCGGGAAAAAATTGTATTAATATTTGCACGCTATTTTATATTTTATTTACTAGAAAATTGGTCATTTTCAAAATCCACACGTTCAGGTTTCTCCAGGAATAAGACCCATATGTACTCTATTTTTCTTACAAGATTATAACCTACTCCTAAGCTATTATGAAATGTGAAATGAGTAAAGGGAGGGAGAAAGAGATGTAATGGAAAAAGAGAGAGAAAACAAAATTAAGGATATGATGTTGGATGAGTCTTTGAGAAAGTAGGTTTGGTGCCCATGCGACGGATGGAATGGACATGACTTAGTAACTATATTACAATCATAATAGGAAAAGAATTAAAACAGTAAGATATAATTGTGAAATGATCGTCTTGTAAATTATAGTAATTGGAGTAAAGTGAATGCACGATGCATATCAGAAGCGTTTATAATAATTAGTTGCCAACCAATTGCAAAATTCTTAAACTAGGAAGTTAGTCCAAAAGTGTTGCAGTTTAGCAGCTAGCAGAAGTAGATAGATTTGCAGCATTTGCTTATTATATAGCTGATGAAATTACATCAGATTAACTTGAGCTAATGATCAAGTAACTAGTGGGAGAGCACTTTATAGCTTCTCTGAGGAACCTTCCGAACCATAGCCAAAGAGAGATCAAAATAAAGAGGGAGTTGGACCAGTGCAAAGAACGACACAGGCAAACAGGTAGCAGCATATATAGGATAAACTGCGTATTTGAGCTGGTCTTCAATGATAAAGAAATGCCCCGCACAGAATGATATCAACACAGATGCTATAGATGTGAAGAGTGTAGTCAATCCCATAAGAAGTTTTCTTGGCAAGTCCACAGCAAAGTCCTTTTCTTGGTACCGAGATGTGAGTATTGAAAGAAACAAAATGAGGGCTGTGACAGAGGAGCAAAGTGCAACAAGTGATGCTATAGCAAAGAGGTTGAAAGCAGGTTTTCCTTGCAATAATGGCGAACCCGTGTTTTGATCGGGACCACCTGGTATTGCTGTTGATGTTGTGAATGCCACAGTTGCAACAAGGGCCGCAACAACTGAGCACGATTCTGAGGTTTTGGTAAGCCATTTACTACCTTCTTTCACAAGTGGTCCATGTGTACTCACGAAGAGTTGCTTTGCTGTTTGCCCGTTCTTATTGTAACGTTCATAGAAATTTGGTGGCATGGAATTCTTAACAAGCTGAAAAGCATAAACATTCTCATTATACTTAACCATCTGTAGTTTAATCTGCTGAAAATGAATTCCACTTTACTTATCTATTGTTTAGAAAATTCTACTCTTCTTTTTGGAAAGTAAATTGTTCCTTGAATAACTTTCGGGATAACTAAAGTTGTCTCTTTTCCTTTTTGAGTATATACATATTTGGGATTGTATATACAGAAAAAATAAAATGTCAATCAGACAAATATAATTATATATGATGTCATGTAATAACACATAATATTAATTTTCAATTTTGTAAATATTAAAATTAGAAAATAGTTATACAAAAAATATGATCAATAATTTGACATGATTAAAAGAAAGAAACTAAAATAAAATAAAGTAAAAAAAATAATAATTTATTACATGTTCCGAGACCACGTAATTTCGGCCGTTAAAACCGTATCACATATATATTTTTTGTCGTAAATCGTAAAAAATTGACACGTGCTTCAATTTTAAAGGAAAGGGACCACAAAAATTCTCCTAAAATGAGCTTCTAATAATTTTATTGTTAAGTAAACTATTACTTTCTCATGAATGATCACCATAGGATATGACCATTTACTAATTTGTGAAGATTTCTAAAGTACTTTGGAGGTGAGATATATGTGGAGAATCTTTACCTTATACCACTTGTATTCCCACTGCATTTGCATTGCAGCACCAGGGACACGCCAAGGCTTATGACTCCTATATGTGGCAGCAAGGTGCAATGCACTGTTACCCTGATTATCCACTTGACGAAATGCACTCTCCTTAGTTAAACTCTTCTTATTCAACAGACTGTAAACACGAGGTTGCCTATTCTCTATGGCCAAAAGAACAACATTCTTGTTATTAGAGTCCACATCATGGATAGCCACAGGGTTTGTTTCAAGGATCTTTTCAACCATCTCGGTCACTCCCATCTTTGCTGCTATTAAAATAGGTGACTCCTTTACTGTCTTTTGAATACTTCCCTTCTCCTTTTTTCTAATACTTTCTAAGTTTCCTATGTCATTATCATCTTGAAGAGCATCAGAACTCATTCTAGTATACTCATACTTGTATGCAGAAGAAGCACGCTGAATCAGTTCATTCATCACTTGCTTGGCCAGGATGTGTTTCACTTTCCTTCGTTGGATTTTCTCTATCCAAGATGCTCCTGTATGAGAGCCACTCGGTTAAAGAAAAAGTAATTAAGCATTTTCACCTTTTTCTACGCTTAACATTCACTGAGACAGACTGTGTGTTTGGATTCATGTTACAATAAGATGGTGATCTGCTTACCAACACCGAAAATGATTAGCAAGGCCTTTATCGCAAGGGTTAGGAATTGGATCACGGCTTCCCAGTTGGGAGGGAACCAGTAGCGTTCCTTTTCCTTCTTTGCTTGCTCTTGCTCAACATAAATATACACATAATTAGGAAATTCATATTCAAAACTACCTAATTAAATTTGGACACTTTCACTTTTAACATGCATGCCATAAAATAGGTGAAAATATAGAATTTAAAACTTCCTGTTACATCAATGACATAACAGTGTCTCGTATATGTATATTTATAAGTTAAAAGATATATAACTAAGAAGATGATAAATTTAAATAGCTAAAATATTTTAAACAAATAAACTACTCAAATTTAAGTCATTTCTCTTTCAAATTCTTGGATGGATCCACCCTCATTTTAATACTAAATTTATAAATAACTAATACTCCAACACTTTTGAATAGACCCGCACTCACATAATAATAATCAGTAAATTTATGAATAACCAATACCATGGAATATTGTACAATATTTGAAATGAGTTGGTGCATCTTTATACGCTTGGATTTATGTTGAGAGGATATGGGTATTGGGTAGCATATGGTTTACGATAGAAAAATTACCAGGTTTTCGCAAGACATTATTCTCTTCATCATCACTTGCAGCTTTCCTATCTTTTCCTGTTGCTGTAACAAAGCGTAAAAAGATAGATGCGCTTAGCTTTGCCATGTGATAGCTACACAAAAGTAGCTACAACTGCAAGCTAGGTAGAAAATCAAAACGAGTGGAAGTTAGAAGTTCACGCACTTGTAACTTTGAGTGCACTCTTGAACAAAGATAAGAAGCCCATGCATGTTGCATAGTTCATCGGGTAATCATCACTTGTGGCAGCTTGATTATAACGTATGTCATCTTTTTCCTCAAACTCGTCAACAAACAAACCTAAAAAAACACTGATTATCAGTCGGATTACTCAAGGAAACTACAAAATTATTATTTAACTAGATAGTATATGTTAGAAATAAGAACTTAAAAAATAGAATGTATAATTTACTAAGATAAAATACTGTGAATTAACATGAATTAAGGACAATAATTCTTTAATTAAGAGTTATATAATGCATAGTTTATAACTTCTAAAAATTTAGTATCAGAATAGAGCAGTTATTTAAGATAAATCAATGATTAGTCTACTACTAATTAATAAAGGTGTATGCAAGACAAGTTCGGATATGATTATCTCTGTTCCCATGCAATCCAATGTTTTTATAGGGTGATAATATTATAATAGGACTGAATCAACTTGACTTATAAACAAAATATACCAATCTTAATACTATATGTTTAGTTAAATCATAGAATTAATGAAGTATAAAATTGAAGTATATTTTACAGAATATATATTAAAATGAGTAATATTAATATAAATATAATATTATGATATGAAAAATATCATTTATTAAGTAATGAAGTGTTATTATTAATTCATAATTATTTTAAAAATATATAAATTTTAAAAGAAAAATGGCATTGAATCAAGTAAGAATAATCTAAACCTATTTTGAGTCTAATTTGAAAACCCAAACTCGTCAAAATTAACACCGAGCTATGACAAGTTGGTGATTGTACACGTCTAACAACTAATATATCATGTATACTAAAAAAGTAAAAAAATTCTCTCTTTCTTGTTTTATTTTATTTTTTAATTCTCTTCTTTATCTCTTATGTCATCCTTGCAGCATGTTTTGTCATGTGATTCTGAGTGAAGTGCTAAATAATTATGAAAATGTAGAAAAACTTTATTGGAGAGGAAGTTATATTCTTACAACTGTAGATGATACGCGGAAGCAACTCCATTCGCGTGCTGCTTTGGAAACAATTAGGCTTCCTAGCAAGAATATGCAGAGGTGATAACCCCTCCCGATTTACAGAATTCGCAAGGTTTGGATACAACTCAATTATTTGAAGCGCCAAACCTATCAAATTAATTCATCATATTATAGTAACCACACTCTGAATGAAATGAATATAACATGGAATCTTGTTAGAACACTCGTGAATGCATTGATAATTTTTTTCTAAAATTCAAAATCACGTTAAAAAGTTCTTAAATTTGAACCTGACCTAATTCAAATATAAAAATTAACTCCCAAGGAAATTAAGGATTGTCTTCACTTTGACTAAGTCAATGTAGAATTGCAATAGAAATATATTAAAATTTATAATAAAAAAGTATCATTATATTTTTAATAAAAAATTTATTATTAAATTTTTAATTAGTATCCTAAAAAACATTGATTAGCACTTGTCATGGAATGTTAAATTTGCAATATGACAACAATATAATGTCACTAACCAAAGTATTCACCGGAGATGGTTGAATGAAGAATGGTGTCCCCGTTGCTCTTACTAGCCAGGGAATCATCATCATCATCGTGGTTTTGTTGGTGGCCATGGAGACAAAAGAATGCATCTCTCTTGCCATGAACAGCAGCCAAGAAGAGAGGGGTCTCATCTTCCTTGTTGCGAAGAGAAATGAGGTTGGGATCCCTTTTGGCTATGTTGTTGCAAATGTCTATGTTTCCAAGCTCAGCTGCTATATGCAAGGGAGTGTTTCCCTTTGAGTTTTGCATGCGTAGGATGTTGCATGCCACTTCCAAGCTTATGTTGTCTAACAAACTCGCCACAAAACTGGTTTGTCCAACATACACTGCAATGTGTAAGACTGTGTCTTCTGCTTTTGTGATCTTAGCCCCCAATGCACCTTGGTTTTTCTTGTAGGCTTCTAACACTTCTTTCCATTGCCCTCTCATGGCATAATTAAACAAGCTTTCAACCTCAATCTGTGCCATTTCAAGACCCAAGAAAGTATTTTCAATAAGACTATATAATAACAAGGCTTAAAGTAGTTAGTGCATGTGTTCTTTAATGAGCTTAGCTATATATATATATATATATCTTTGTTCTTTATACAAGTGCAACCTAGTTTTTTTTAGTATATTATATGATTTCCATAATCATGAAATTATATGTTAAATTAAGCTTCTAGGAGGAAGCATTGAAGCAAATGAGCTATTCAAGGATTAGATTTAAATGTCACAGGAGATAAATGGGTACTAAAATTAAATCAGAATATGGAATGAACACGTAAGGCAGAAGTGGGAAACATGTCATGCTGCAGAGCTGTTAAAGGTACACTTTATCTTTTGTAATATTCCGTACAATTTCCTGAACTAATAATTCGAAACAAATCACATCTTTTCTCAAAATTGCTATGTAAGACAAGCATTTTCTTGTCAATGAAGGAGGCTTGGATTCCAATTTACTTTGAGGAAGCCAAGATGTTAAATAAAGTCCATATATATAGGTTATTGTACGACTTGTTTACTATAATTTTAACTTTTGTCTGCCCTTTTTCTTAACATTATATTTATCAAGATGCATTGCTTTTTTTTACCTCCTATTTTAAAAAATAAAAGGGAAGAAAATTCATAAAGTTGTGTTTACCCTACTTGCACTTATACTTTGCACCCTCTTAACAAAATGTTTCCTTGTGGCTTGCGCAATTGTTCTTTTACTGTCCATGGAAAGATGGATTTATGTTGAGTTGTAGATTTAACCACAGAAAGACGGGGAAAACAAAATCTGTTGTGTCTATCAATACATAATGTGAAAACATTAAATAAAAAACATTTTTATTTACTTAAAAAAATATTTTAGATAATTTTTCTATTTTATAACCCGTTAGATATATATTAAATGAAAAACTCAGATTAAGTGTAAAAATTTTTAGACTTACACCAGTATAACCCGTTATATATATATATATATATATATATATATATATGTATATATAATTTTTTTTATATTTTTAATTTCTTATCACATGCTCATAAATGCATAATAGACAATCTAAATTTTTTTTTTATAAATTTATTCTACTGATTTTTACTTGCAATAAAAGGTGTTCAGGAAGCTTTCAACGAATCACGGACAATTTTAAATAATAATTATGTCATAACACCATGTTAAATAAATATCTCCATCGGACATGTATCAATACTTCAGATACTTTTAGTTATATTTTTATAGTTTTTTTAACTTTTATTTAAACTTTCATATGAGTACTGATTAAAATATTACAATATCTAAATACATTTTTCTTACATTTTACTATATTTGTTTTGACTTATGTTCATTTTTAAAACATGATTTATTTCTGAAAATCTAATTTCTTTGTTTAATATTAATCTTAGATAATTTAATATTTATATTACAACCATGTGACGTCTCATGAAATTTAAAAGTTATCATATCCCCATGTCACTGTTGTATCCATGTTTCCTTAGCATTTCAAGGACACAAGCTAGTTTGTACAATCTGATTTATGATCCCCTCTTCCCATCTGCTGACACCCAAAAACCAAATTTTTTCCAGGTTTATTGATCATGGGAAATGAGTGAGTTTCTTTAGTGTTAACTATTTAGCTCCATTGGAATAAAGATATATTGCATTGCAAATATAATACTCCCTCTGGTTTCTAATTTTTTCTGCTGTTATGTAGCATTGGTAACTTCCATGGATGAAAAATGGAACCAGAGACGCTTGACATTGATCTTGCCACAACAGAAACTATTGCCTGCAATAGCAAGGGGGATCTCTTTTTGTTGCTTCTTAACAATTTTATAGAAAATACAGTGAATTAAATTTTGACTTCGAAAAATGTCTCAACATTATGCTACTCTTGCTTACTTTCATATAATATACACTTCATGATATTTATTTAGCAAAAACATATTACATGATGGTATTGATTGACAACTGAAGGTTCGTAATAAACATTGTGAAAGGTGGTCATCATGTAAGTAGGTACAGAGAAAATCCATGAAAGTTGTCTCCTTTGTTAGGAGAACTCATACTGGGTCATCATTATGTGAGACCTGAAGTCTCCAAGTGACAAACTGGATATATGCGTAGTTGATACCCATTGCAATTCCAAAACCCAAAACTGAAGAAAGTAGTATTGCGTAAATGGCTGTCAAATGCAACTGCAACAAAGTCACAAAGCATTAGCACATTAAGGGTACACTTAACGTCAGCTAAGTAATCAACTAAGAAGCTGGGTTGTATGGATTTCTCAATTACCAAGGAAACAACAATTTAACTGATTAATGCAATATTAAAGAGGAACACCAAGGAAAATAACTTTTTTTAGAAGAATGGGGGCAGCAGATTGAACTCAAGATAGGGTGTAGAGGCTTTGATACCATATCACGAACTAAAATTGAAATGGGTCTACCTCAACTCTAAGAGTTAGCTCAAAGTGGAGATTGGCCATCCTTTATAGGGTACTTTGTCCATATTTCTAACAAATTTGAGAATTCTAAACACACCCCTCAGGCCCTAGCGTATGAAGTTTGCAAGTCAAGACCCAATTTCAAGACTGGATAGGCTAGTTCATGCGGGGAAGGGAGAGGGATTACCCAAGCCTTATAAGGAGTACTTACAACCTAGCGATATTCTTGAATGAATCTTTACACTTCTATTCCAGGAAAACACATAGGATGATGCATATATGCAGCAGATACATACAAAGTTGTAACTTGCAAATGAGGAAGCAGGAAATAACAGATTAATTGTGGCAGCTACTAACATGAAAATCTTAAAGCAAAGAACTAGCCTCAGCTCAAGAAATCAAGGGAGGAAGGAGTCACTGCCATTAGCAGGCATTCGATTCATCTGTCATCAGTCCTGAGTAATGAACAAGAAATCTCTAAATTCTTACCATAGTATAAAACAGATGCACAGTTATAGCCACAAGAGCAAACTCAAGAGCAGCATATGTCCATATATACTCTTTAATTGCTGCAAACATCACAAGTAAGAATTTGATTAAAATTTAAAAATAAACTGTAACAAAAAAAAAATTTGTTACAGAGATTGTACCAAGGATGACAGCAAAAATAGAAGCCAGGAGGCCCAAGGTAAAGGCAAACGGTGCTGCTATTATAATGGCTTGAGTCTTCAACTCAGGAAGCTACAACATGGAACAAGCAATACATAAAATCAATTATGGTTGAACATACAAATGTGTGTAAAAGAAAGGTTAATTGCACCTCAAAACAATACACATTCTAATAATACCTCTGTTGTTAGGCTACTTTCAATTGGGGAAGGGGAGTGTAGAGTAGGCAATCATAGTTATGCGTGGGTAGATACTGCTTATTTTTCTGTCCCCATCCCCTCACCCTCTAGAGTAAGATACACTTGCACTGAATATGCCATGTAAAATATATATATATAAAATGACTATCAATAAACAGCATTCTTGACTCTATCCAATATCCATGAATTTTATGCTTTTAAAGGAACCCAATTAAAAGATTTTAAAATGTCAGTAAGATTCAAATGATCAAGTGAGATAATACACACAAGGTAGTTCATTTTCAAAGGAAATAGGCATACCAATAGCTGTTCAAGGAAGAAAAAGTAGCATATTGTGCTTATGAGGACAAGCACCACAAAGTCTTGCCAGGCACTGTAAAAAGAAAATCAAACAAAATTAATAAAAAAGAAATTTAGTTGAAATACGCTAATGCTGAGAGTGATTAGATGCTTGAGTATAGAATAACTCATCAATTTACTATGAGTAAGTTTCCCAAGTTAAACTTTGTTAGTAGCAAATACCAGTAATGGATTTAGAACATTGCTAAAGACAGATAAAAGGAGGAGTCAGAATGGTGTCAAGGATCAATCCTCCTAAAAGTTTAATCTGTAAGGTGCACAATTAAGATCAGTTTTATAAACAAGCCCTCTCATGAAAGAGCACTTTGGGCTTCAGGCATGGAAAGTGCACATGCCCATTTGTGCTGAAATTTAACTTTTATCTAGAAAAATGATATGAAAAATATCAAACTCTTGACCACTAGGTCATACGGGCTCTAACAACTCTCTGAAAGGCTTCAGCCGTTAGGCAAAGGTTTAAGATTGGATTTACACCAAGTTTGTTTTAGGAGAAAAGGATAGTCGTTTGGAATAATAAAAGGAAGACTACGTAGTTAGTCCAGACAGTTAGAATAGTTAATTTGTGAGAATGGGTTCAAATCACCTTATTGTCTCTGGATGTAGGTTCTGCTGACCTTGTAATTGTCTGCTTTGTCGTTGAATGGAGCTGGTCACTCGAAGCAAAGTTACAGGTAAATTCTGAACCTCTTTCCCACATACATCACATTTCTTATTTCCTTTTGTGCTAAACCATTTGATTGCACATTCTTCATGGACCAATCTCAGGTCACCTTTGCAGCTGCATTCCATTTTAAAAGTATTCCTTTCATCACACACATCAAGACAAATCCTGCATACCGCTTCCTCTTCAGGAATTTCTTCATCAGTAGCAACTTCTACTGGTGCAGGAGTTATTTGATCTGATTGACCAAGAAGTATAGAAAATTTCCATAAGATTAAAAGTGATGTGTGCTAAAACATGGAAAATAATTCAAGTATTAATAACACGTCAACAGTTCAAAAAATTAAATAACTAGTCCAGCAATCTAATTCAAATTGCTCAATTTGTCTATTGTCAACATACAAAATTTTTGAACTTTGCCTAGTTATCAAGATAATTTCCATCCAATCAAAAAATTATGATAAGTTGTCTAAGCTTTGACTTGGATGAATCGTTGATGATAATAGTCAATTAATTGAAAACCTATACACCAAAGAATCCACTTAAGACTTATAAATTCAATTCAATGAAACAAATGAAAATGGTAATGGAGGGAAACACCATAGTAGGCAAATTTCAACCTTGGGAAAAGGATTAGAAGTTAGATTTTTCAAGCATAAGAATTTAAAAATAATTAAAGTAGGACTATGAAACTGTAATAATAGAGTATATGACATAACATACCATCATTTGAATCTTGTTGTTCCTGTTCACTACGGGTAGAAAAGGAGACTGATCTTACAATAACAATATTTCGTCCAGGTACAGAAAGGGACCTTGACACCTTAGAACGTACAACATCTTTCTGCACACAAAAAAAATCATTTTTTTATTTGAAAAATTCCAATACCTAAGGAAATCCTTAATTTGACGCAACTATGTACATATAATATGCGTTAGAAAGCACTTAACATGAGTTTGAATCAATAAACTTCATGCTTTTTAAAATACTTTCTAACCAGTTTCATGTTTCCCTTTTAGGTGGAGGCATATACTCAGTTTCTATGATAGCAGGTTTGATACAACATCCTGGATCCCGAGTACAATATATCACTTGGAACATGATTGGACACTTTCTATGACCCCAGATACAGTTACGACAATTTTATTTTGAAAATCCAAATGCAAGGCAACTCAAAGAAGTAGAGGATTACTTACATGTGGCTTAGTCTGTTCATTATATGTCCTTGCAGAAATGGGTGTAGACACTGAGGGGGATAGATTTGATGCAGGAGTAACAGGAAGAGAAGCACATCTTTTCCATGCAATTTCAGATATGGAGGCCATATTAGAACCGTCTGCAGCTGTCTTGGGGTCTGAATTAAGGAGGGAGCTTCTTTCGCCATCTGCTACATTTCCTTTTCTTTTGAAGCTCAAGGCCCGCAAGAAGCCTCTTGATGATGAGATCCCTTTAGAGAAACTTTGAGAATGGTCCAGAACCCTTCCACCACTAGTGCTGCCAAACCCTAAAGGTCTAGGTGGAACTTGAAGTGAAATATCAGGACGCCTCCCACTGGGTCCACTATCTGAAACTTCTTTGTTTCTCTGGGGGACAGCCTACATGTAATGAGGACAGTTTAGCAAAAGCTTATCAAGTGCCAGCAAGTTTGACATAATGTGTCGAAGAACCGCAGATAACATAACAATAAATATTTGAAAGAGCATGCTGCATGCAATGATTAAAATGCAAGCACATCAAAATATTCCACAATGAATAACTATCAATCCTCAACAAGCTAATCATTACCAGAAGTTACCTTGTTTCACTTGGAAGATCAAGAATTGAATCAAGCATTTAAGTCAATGACACTAGCAAAATCTATAAATTCCTCTAATGTAACTAAAAATAAAACAGTACAAGATGTCACATAAATTAAGAAGGAAACGGACGGACATACCCAGAACTCATTTTGCAAATTACATTATTATCAGTTAGAGCACATGGGCAGAACTCCTCAACTTCAAGGACCTTCAGAAACACTTACAATTACAACCCCTACAACTAAACTACTGTCTCTGCATTATAAAACAATGACATGCATGCCCTTTTCTCTCATCTTCTCTTTTACCCTCTTTTAATTGAAACTTTTACTAGCAACAAATCAATAAAACCAATTTGTAGTTTTCAACAAATACATAAATATTGACATGTTAGCCAGTGACTGAAGAATGGATTCATGTTCAATTAGATTTCACAACCCACAGTTAGATGGGAAGAGAATATACATATACTGAATCAACATTCTAAGTATTGAAACGGATGCACAATTAAGGAAAACCAATAAAAACATGGGCTTTTGAGGGAAGGGTCTTAAGTAGGCACATAACAAGCTAAAATTGGAAACCCCTTAACACCAATTGGATAAAAATCAGGAAATTCTATCTAGAAAATCAAATACAAGTCACTGCATGCCCACCAAAAGACATGAGTGAGAAACTGAAAGGGTTAAGCCACTGTGAAGCTCACATAAGGAATCAAGATAAAAGGGATTAAAAAGAAGGGTGGTAAATTCAAATGAATAAGCCAAAGTGAAAAGCAAAAAAAAAAAAAAAGGAACCTTGCATGTTTAAGATGTGAATCATGAAAAAGTAAACCTGATGGGAAATCTCGGGAGCTTGATCAGTGGGTGATGGCTGAGGTGCTTGCATTATAGCTAGTTGCAAAGATCGACAAGTGCAAAATTGGAGGAAAAAACAATGAGAAAAGCAAAAGAAGAAAAAAATAAGAGAAAGAGAAAGAAGTGAAGGAAATAGAATCCAACAAAGATATAGTGAACAAAAAGGAATCAAGCAACTGTGGAAAGACCGTGGGTCGTCGTGTAATTTACTTTACATTACATGTGGAATATTAATCTTTTATTTTAATTAACCTTAAATATAATATTAATAAGTTCATACACCCACTACAATTAAGATGCGGTGAGGTGATGATAAGTGACAACGTAGTTGCCGCAGAGGAAGCAACTTGAACATGCAAATTAAAACACTTGTTTATTAGAAGTTTCAACATATTTAAAGATATATATTAAAAATAATAATATATAATGTTATTAATATATTTAATTTATCATCTATAAAAAATATTATGTAAAATTAAAATAAATAAATTTTTTTTTTTTTATTTTAACTCGTTGCAATTGCTTAACTTAAAATACTAAAAGTATGTTTAGAAAAATAAATTTTAAAAAGGAAGAGAGAGAAAAGCATACTTTTTAGTTTTAAATTAAAAAATTATATATTATTTATGATTAAAAAATACATAATTAATATATTAATTTATATTTTTTATTTTAAAAATATTAATTCTGGTAACATGAAGCTTCATTGGAAAGAGAGAAAAGAGAGCAAGAGAGTAGTTTCGTGTGTCCGGTCCTGGAAGGAGGGTCTTAAGCAAAAGCCATCACTAATGTTCCATTGCCATGCGTTTTACACATTGTTTTATTCCCAGTACTCACTGCTATCTCTTGCTTGTAAAAGGGGCTTACGTTTTCTATTCAAAGTTTGAATTGAAATTGTAACTTTAATTGTTGCCATAATTTAGGCTGAATTATTTTTTTAATGTTTTTTAAAGAATAAATTCTTAAAATAATATTTTTTAAAAACATATTTTTTGTTTGAGATTTTTTTGACAGATTAATGGTGTTTCATCCACTATTTCAATAAAATATATTTTTTATTATTTTTTAAATCATATTTTGTTTTCAGCAAAGGTAAAACTATTAGATTGTGTCTCGTGTTTTTATCTAGTGAATTTCATTATGCAGAGACAAAATTTATATAAATATGCTATGTGTCATATTCTGATCAATTTACAAAATTAGTTAAAAAGAATGAAATATATTTTAATATTTAATTAAAATATATTAAAAATAAAAAATATAATATTTAATTTAAAAATAAATTATTAAAATAGAAGCAGCAGCCACTTACGTGAGTTAAAAAAAAATAAAAAAATATTTCATCAAAATAGCAAACAAAACAGCCACTGACATAATAAAAAAAACCCTAAAAGAGAATATATTTTAAAAAAATATTATTTTAAAAATATATTTTTTAAAAAATATAAAAAAATAAATCAGCCCCGAAATTTATCTTTTAAACTTTTGTTCGCCGCGTATAATTAAGTAACAGTATAAAAGATTCTCACACCCATCAAAACAATAATCTAAATTAAATTAACTAAAACTGTGACATTGATTTCATCTTTGAACAGTATCATTTTTGTGCGGCTTCCAAGTTGCTTCCAATTTCTTATTTGTGTCCCCTATTTTCACAAAGTTTCAGTTTCTTAAGAGAGAGGAAATTAGTCATTTCAAGTGTATAAAAAAAAAATCACACATCAAAAATAAAAAATCAAGACCACACAAAAAAAACCAACCAAAAGAAGATAATGGAAAACACATGATTTATGTGATTTGACATTATCTGTCTACATATATGTATATATTTTCACCAACACATTTACTGTCTCTAAAATAAAAATATAAGTTTTGGAGGGAAAAAAAAAACTTTACATTACATTGAGATATTTATGAGAGGTCTAATCTAATAAATTATGAAGAGAACTGTTCCTCACAGTAATCTCATAGGTTGAATCAATAACAAAAAAGTTAGAATAAGCAAAATATTAATTTGCATAAAATTTAAAAGTAGTTTATTTGTTTGTAAACAATGAATATTAAAAATACCAAACACTCTTTAATAAAATATAAATTGAATATGATTCACAAGATTGACTACTGTTTGCTTTTATAAGGCGTCATGGGTCACATCTCGTTCATTTGTAGCTTGACTTCTGTAGCGCAAACCATTTCTTGCAACACTCCCATGGGCACATCTCCAAAATTGCCTAGACTCAAAGCATCTATTTAAAAAATAATAATTCAACCTTATAATATATGATTTTTATTAAAAAATATTTTTATATAAAAATATGAAACTAAATTTTTTTGTATGAGACTCAAAAATTGTTATTGGTAATTTTTAAATTTTTATAACTTTTTAATTTTATATTTTAGTGTATAATATTTTTAATTATGATGAGTCACTCACTCATTTAAAAAATTAAAAGTTTTTAGCATATTTTATTGAATTTAAATTATAAGTTAATGTAATTAATGGAAAAATTTAATAGAATGTTGTATTGCTGAAAAATTGAGAAATTGTGCATATTTTGATTGGTGACATTTTAATTTTGAAAGAATTAGAAGAAGAAAATTGCAAATGGACTAAAAAGTAGAAGTTAAGTGTTGCAGGACTCAATTGTGGGGACACGATGCTGACTGAGCATATAAAAGCAAAAAATTTTGAAAAAAAAAACATCTTTTACTTTTCTGTCTTTTACGATTTCAGAGCGCAGAAATATAAGTTTTTACATACAGTTTACGTAGGATATGTTAGTTAAGATATTTTCTTTACATATTTGCTAGAGGATTCTTATGGGAACCTGGATTTCATCTCAATTTCTTTGGTTTATGTAATGGAACAGTAACTTTCTCATTTCCTCTATTTGTTGTAAGCTCTTTCTGTGAATATGAATTCAGTATTTACAATCTATTTCAGTTTTATATTATCTACTTGCATTATGTCTAGCTAGATATTTTTGAGTTGAGTAAGGATTAACTTATACTTTTTCCCTTTGCAATAAACTAACAATGAATATAGCTCAAGATACAAGCTTTAATTTAACATCTTTATTCTAAACTTAATGCTTCTTTGTTCTACATGAATGAGATTGATGAAAATGAGTTTATTACTGGAAAGTAGTAAGCTTTCTTAGATTGGAATTAATTTGCTCATTATAAATTATCTAGGAATAAAAATTTATGATGATATGGTCAATGAGTTTAAATCTAAATGCTGAATTTTTTAGTTATATCTAAGGAATTAATTTTAGAACCCATTACCAAGGAATTGAGGTTAGGTATTTTAAAAAATCTGACCATTAGATAAAGTTGTGTTTTGAGTTATAAATATATTTGTATGCAAAGAGAAAGGGATAAAGGATTCCGAACTCAATCTACCTTTTATATTGTTTTTAAACCCACTTCCAGTAATCAAGGCATTTAAGTTCTGCAGTTATTTTGTTTATTGTTCCAAATTTTATTTTTCTATTTCTGTTTATATATTAAATTCAAGTCCAACAACTTAAATTTTGTTTTTACCATTCTGGACTTATTCAAAATTTTGTTATGTTTATATCCTATTTTTGGTGACTCAACAAGTGCTATTCTTATAGGTTGGTACTTAACATTAATTCCTCTGAACGATAATCTAATTTGTTACTTCAACGATTTGATACACTTACAAAAATTTTTATCAAAATATCACATAAAAAATATATTCAAAAATATTACGCTACAGTTTGAATTTGTTTCCACTTTGTTGAAGAATTTTAATTATAAAATTATAAGACAGGAATGCTTAATTTTATTTAGTTTATAGATGTTTGTGGAAAAAAAAAATTGACAAGGGAGCTTCTCAAAAAGTTGAAATATATAAATTAATTTTAATTTATGTGATAAAACAAGTATTTGAAAATTAGTTTTATGAGTGTTTGTGTGACTTTTGAGATATATTTTTGCCGTTAATTTCTATGAATTTTCAAGCATTTTATGTGGAATTTGAAGGTTGGGAGAGAGGTTCACTTTGAGATATTCCGAATTTAGTTAAGTGGTTTAGAAATCGGTTATAATGCACGTCTATTTTATTTTAGAATATATATATATATATATATATAATTTAATAATTAAAAAATAAATTTTATATTTTTACAAATGATTATATATGATAAAATTGTTTTAAATAATAATTTTTAATTTAATTCTATAACTCTATTAAAATATTAAAGATTTAATAAAATTAAATACTTTTAAATTTTGATTTATTTAAAAATAATTTTTTTGTATAGTGTCAAATTTTTTAATTAAATATCAATAATCAGTATATATCACTAATTATAAATTTAAAATATAAGACTCTTAAAAATAAATTTTAAATTAAAAAAAAAGATAATTTTTATAAATATAAAAATATTTATTTATAAAAATTCATATAAAGTAATAAAATAAATTTAAATAAAAAATTTAATCTCTAAAATTTTTAAAATGAAAACAAAAAAAAATGTGGGTAAAAAAAATTATCATAGTAAAAGCTCAATTAATTTTAATTTTAAAATATACCTATGGTGAGCTACTAAGGGGAAAAAAAAAACACTCTGCTAATACTCTACTTTTCATGTAATAGACTCTTATTACTTAGTTCAATTGATCTTTACATATTTTAATATAATTTTTACTACTTTTCTTTAATTAATATCTTTGAAATAATGATTAACAAATACTATTAAAGGAAGTTTGTATATGTGTGTCAGAATTGTGCAAGTTACATTTTTGGGCCTATTAGAAAAGGGAGTTAGTTGTGCAGGAGACCAACTTAGTTCAGCCCATGGAAAATGTACCTCTGGGAGAGTTTCTCAACTTTCAAAGTCCATTGACCAAAAATAAAAACCTTCAGAGTCCAAAACATGAAAACTTGTCACGTGGGTAACCCAAAATGAGTGCCATACAACAAATTGAGTTTCAGACTAAACAACAAAGTGGGTTTCGTGCAAATTTTTTTTTTACTTCAAATTTTTATAGGGTCATTTTCTTACCTGAAATTGATATGATTAAGACTCAGTAGGATTTTTTACGCATTTGCAGCTTTTTTTAAAATTAAAT